AACCAACCAACCAACCAACCAACCAACCAACCAACCAACCAACCAACTAACTGTAACAAAAAAGTTTCAGGACAACCATTCTTCTAAAATACAAGGATTTGGGGACTTTCCTCTGGTTCTCTCTAACTTGCCTCTTTCTTACTCTGGGTTTTTACCTAATCTCTGCCTCACTTTATTGGAGCAGTAGTTGAGACTCTGCTCCTGAGCACTCCCAATCAGTAGATGGCGACAAAGGCACACAGAGACACTCTAAGCCAGCCCTGGGCAGGCTGCTTTCCAAGAGCAGGCAGTTGTTTCTGGCCCTCTCCTACTCAGTTCATGTACGGTTTCTCTAGAATTGCGTATTTAGAAAATGACGTGTCGGAGCAACAAGGAATGGAAAGATGGATTTAGTTAAAGGTGTTTAAAATGATCTTACATCACAGGTTACAGCAACAGTAAAAAAAAGTAACAGATAAACTAAAGAGCGGTATCTTAAATACATAGAGCAGAAAGAAAAACAGAAAGAATATGGGATATTACCAAATCCTTCCGAATGATAAGAACTGTTTGATGCTTAGATGCAAAGAAAGTGTCAAGAGAGCTGACCACGGAAATGCTAAAATTCCTGTGCACCTAACAATGAGGATTAACAAATGGAAGGATGGTCTGCTCACCAGAGCAGTCTTAACAGCATGATGCCAGAAAACAGACCAGTGACACAGGCTCACATCATTGCTTGAAAAGACGTTAATAAGGGGTGGGATGTGGGTAATGGGTTTGAGTCTCAGCATTGTAGGGGAGTGGGGACAATAGCATCCAGATAAAAATAGCCAGAAGTTACAAAAGCTGGACATGCCGATACACCAAAGCAAGCTCAGATTTGGGGAAGTGGGGGCGGGAGGAGTGCCTTGAGGTTGAGACTAATTTGAGCTACATACTAAGACTCTATCAAAAAAAGATGAGGTGTTTGAGGCCAGGCTGGGTTCCAGGAAACCTATTCTTAAAATATTGCATCTCGGGGCTGGAGAGATGGCTCAGAGGTTAAGAGGATTGACTGCTCTTCCAAAGGTCCCGAGTTCCACTCCCAGCAACCACATGGTGACTCACAACCATCTGTAATGAGATCTGGTGTCCTCTTGTGTCATGCAGGTGTACATGTAAGCAGAACTCTGTATAAATAATAAATAAATAAATTAAAAAAAAATATTGCATCTCTACCCCTCCGGGAAAACAAAAACAAAAACCCAAACCAAAACAGATCAAAGCAACAACAGTGCAGAAGAAACACATTAACCAACAGAGAACACTTTTTCTGAGATAGGGTTTCTTTATGTAGCCTTGGCTGTCCTGGACTCACTTTGTAGACCAGGCTGAACTGGAACTCACAGAGATCCACCTGCCTCTGCCTCTTCAAATCCTAGGATTACAGGTATGCATCACCACGCCCAGCTGACAGAGAATACTTACAGAGATACATAATGAGGAAATTAAGAAACAGCCCTTTCAATCAAATATACAGTTTATTGATGACTAAAGAATGAAAACAATTTGTTTTGCTCACTAAACTTAACAACTTAAAACAACAATATCTTTTTTATTTGTTTTGTTTTTGAGATAGGGTCTCTGTGCAGTTCTTGCTGCCCTGGAACTCACTGAATAGACCTGACTGGTTTCAGACTCAAAGATCTACCTGCCTCTGCCTCCCAGCGCTGGGATTAAAGGTTTGTGCCACTTTCTTGGCTAGACATATACTTCTAAAACTGAGACTACCCAAGTTTGGCAAGGGGAATTCAGCTAAAACTGCTCATTTATTTGGTCTTTGCTGTGTGGAGGATGCAACCCGGGTACTTTCGTGTGCTCTGTGACAGAGCTGCACCCTCAGCCCGAGACAGGTCCTTCTGTGCATGCTATCGCTCCGTTGGGTGGCAGCATGGTATCTTGTAGTACTGGTATGTTTGTTAAAAGATTTAAAGAGGGGCCTGAAGGCAGGGCTCAGTGGTTTAGGGAACACACTGTTCTTCTTGAGGACCCGAGTTCAGTTCCCAGCACTTACAGTAGGCGGCTCACATCAGCCTGTAACCCCAGCTCTATCGGATTTGTTATCCTCCTCCGGCCTCTCCAGGTTCCTGTAAACACATAGCGCGCGCGCACACACACACACACACACACACACACACACACACACACACACACGAGAACGAAGTTGAAAAAATTAAGTTTAGGTGGGCTGGGGAAATGGCTCAGAGGTTAAGATCATGTACTCATTGCTTCCCAGAAGACTCAGGTTTGGTTCCCAGTACCCACATGGTGGCTGACAACCAACCATTGCTCCAGTTCCAGGAGGCTCTCTTCTGGCCTCCTCAGGCACACACACACACACACACACACACACACACTCTCTCACACAGATAAAAATAAAATAAGTCTTTTTAAAAAAAAGATTTAGCTGGGTATAGTGGCACACGCCTTTAATCCCTGCACTTGAGAGACAGAGGCAGGTGGATCTCTGAATTCTAGGACAGCCTGGATTGCAAAGCGAGTTCTAGAACAGCCAGAGCCACCTAGAGCAACTCTGTTTCAAAAAAACCAATCTCAACAAAAAGTTGAGATTGTTGGGCCCCAAAATTTGTATCTGGTAACATGTCGTAATAGATGCTTTTAGAAAGGCTGTCTGCCTAAGGACATTTCAATATTATTTTAAAATCAATATATAAGATACTTTGTTGCTGGATATACAATAATATTTTGAAATGGCAATGAGCTGAAAAAGGAGTCAGCTGAGTTAGAAACAATCACAGATATCTTGGCCGTATCCGCTTGATGGACTGCATTGCATATATTCTAAATGATGATTATAGAAACTAGGAAATGACACAACCGAAACAGAGGAGAAGAGTTTAGGTGAGGAATGATTTCAACCATTTTTAAAGAATAAACAGATTCTTTGGAATTAGAGTTGCTTTTCTCCTGAACTCTCCAAAGATTTTGTGTGTGTGTGTGTGTGTGTGTGTGTGTGTGTTTGTTTGTGTGAATGCTTGCATACACATGCTCACAAGTGTGCGTGTATATATGAAAAAGAGGGAGAAAAGAAGAGCCAGGGAGTGAGAAGCTGTTTAGAGTTGAATGGAAGAACCAGAAAAGCCCAGGACAGGGTCTTAGAATATTCCATGAGTCTGGTCCTGTGCTCAGGACAGATCATCCGTGCCATCTGTGAATTTACAATCCTGAAGATGAAAGGAAATTGTATGGAGGAGATTTTGCTATGCATTACAAATTTCAGAGAAAAAGGATGTCTAAGTAAAGGCTTTCTGGGAGGGATAAGGATTGGGATAGCCACTGAAGGCTTTCTGAGAGAGGTGAAGAATAAGAGTGCAGGCCTTTGGAGTGGACTCTGCTGAGATGGCCAGAATAAGATAAGGGTCCTGACTAGACGTACTGTGTGGATCTGCCCCTCTCACGGCTATACACTTGTCAGTTCCAGGGCTCAGGATGCTACTGCTGCAAGCTGTCCTGCTGCTCTTAACCCTGCCCAGTCATGCTGAGGAAACCATATCCGAAGGACCTGTAGTCCCTGCCCCTCCGCCCAAAGGAACTTGTGCAGGTTGGATGGCTGGCATCCCAGGACACCCTGGCCACAATGGGACACCAGGTCGTGATGGCAGAGATGGCACTCCTGGAGAGAAGGGTGAGAAAGGAGACGCAGGTGAGAAGAGTCCTGGGTAGAGGGGGGCTTTGTGGGGTATGTGATGCCAGTTATTAACGAAGGCCTAGATGTGGGCAAGAAATAAACCCTTTTTAATGTGGTTCATGAGCATTCTGCAGCTTGAGATGTCCTCCTCGAGTGAGATTAGGTGGTAACATACTGAGGTATCCATGACCTCACTCTGTCTGCATCTCCTTCCACGCCTGTCCATATTCCCAATGTATTCATGTTCTTCATTTCCCCCTTAATTCTTGCTCTATCTATTGGTTTATAAAAACACTTTTCATGCATTAATTCTTGCTCTATCCATTAGCATTCATCATCACTTTTCCTGTACTCCTGAAATGCTCACGAGCTTTTAGAGAACGCTTGGTTTAGTCAAGAAGACACATCTAATGTAGCAGCCTCCAGGAAGTGCTTCCTAAGGGAAGGTGCCTTCCAGCATGCAACATGCCGGTCTGAATGTCTGTAAATGCTGAAGGCATGGGACACAGAAAGATTAAGGATGAAGCTGCACTTAGGGGGGCAGGGCTTGAGCCATACCTCAAAGGATGGTTTTGGAAAATAGAAGTGGAAGGACATATAGACAGAGGGAATAGAAGTGGCTGGTTAGCCAGTACACAAAGCATTGGTTGGTAGAGTATCTATGGTGGACACTTACGGGATGTTACTTTCTAGAAACCTGCTGTTCCATATATGGGGCATATGAAAAGGCATGAGATGAAGGGATGAATAGGTGAATGAGTAGATGGATACATCACATTCAGAACATCTTCTGACCCCAACTGACCACTATTAATTATCAGGCCAAATTATTCACATGTTAAGCAGAGAACTATGAACAAAGATGTATTATCTAGCTCAAAAATTCCAAATATTATCATCAATTTGCTCATTCATCTTTTAATTCACTCATAGAGGCTTTTTTTCCCCTGTCCCGTCCCGCGGGACTCAGTTATTCGTGGGGGCGAAGGGGGTCAATCCTGAAAAAGATGGGGGAGAGAGAGAAAGGACATAAGCAGACGGTTGCCGGTCAAGTGTCTCCTTTATTGAACTTTGGTGTTTCTTTTAAAACGTGGTTTTGGCAGGGCGGGGGAGAGGGGCGAGAAAGGGAAGTAATAGTGGAAAAATACCAAGGCCCTTGGTGGGAAGTTCCCAAGGCTAAGAAGGTGGGTTAAAGAGTTACAAGGCCCGAAGATAACATCGGTGGTCACATCGGTGGTCACGGATGTGTCCCAAAGCAAACAGTTTTGGGAACAATGGGTTGTAAGAAGCTATGGCCTGCTGGC